TAAATGCTCTTTTTTTTGTCTATTTAAATTCCTAATTGCAAATAACAGTTAAAGATTTGTGCATATATCAGTAAGGGTGCATTTTAGTACAAGAGACACAGGTTACCCGTCAATTTTGGTAATTTTCCGGGGGGTACGTTTATTCCGGGGGTATGTTTATTTGATTTTGAAGATTTGTCCGGGGGGTACGTTTATTCCGGGGGGTATGTTTATTCGGCAGATGAGAGTAGATGAAGTTTTTATTAAATCCACTAAGGTAGCTTGCCTTTGTATTTTCAGATTTAAGTCTACATTTAGCTATAGAGCAGTCAACTTTTCAACCACTGAAGGGGAATTTGACGGTACTTCTCCTAATACAAAATCTATGTGTTCTCCAGGCTCCAGTTCTGGCCATGTCACTACTGATGTGTGAGTTGGACGTGTTTGATGCACAGGGCAGCAACCCAGAACTATGCAGTACCCTCAACACCCTCAAGGTGGCGTCGCAGGTCAGTGGGTTCAATTCTCCCATCCAGAAGACATTAACCTTTCTAGAGTACTCATGACTTCTTTTATGCCACACAGATTTGAAAAAAGTAATCATGACATAAAATTTTGTAAATTGTTTAACCACAAGCTTGAAGTCAAAAGCACAAAACTTGTAAGACTGTCACTGTACTAAGTTAATAGAAAATCATCCATGTTTTGTCCATACAGATCAATGAACAGCACTTGGTGGAATGCCGGAACAAGCTGGAAGAGTTTCTGATGCAGTACTCCTCCCCGGTCAGTAGGAGGCCCACGTCACGGTTCGTCTGGGTCCTGTCCTCTCGCACAGCCAGGCAACTCAGACCCAGCATGCAATGGGCCATGGACCTCCCCACCATCCTAGAGGATGGCTATGGGAGCTCTGGAAGCAGGTAAACGACTGTTTTCTTGGGCTGAGTTGTGGGTTTGTCTCTGTTTGCTAACTAGAAAGGTACGTAACACTTGAAAAGCAAGTGCAAAATGTTTACCTTCGCATATGGTCTGCTCTGTCAATTCTTACTCAAACACATTCAAATATATAGTCAGACAGGAGTCTAAATCCCTCTGCTATAAAATTGCAACATGACATGATGTAACCCAACACCAGTTACCATGGTGACAGACATCTGGTTCAGGTCATTGACCTTACTTGTTTGGAGAAGACGAAGAGGAAACAGCAAAAATAAATTTGTTTTCCTTCTGTAAACATAATTTTAGTGACAAAAGCTAACACACAGCATTTCCTGTTCCAGTGAGGAGGATATTTCCAGTGAGGAAGACTCACCGCGGTCTGAGACTGACACCATCTCTTCCGATGATGACGAAGTCTTCCCCACAGAGAAGAAGTCAGCGCTGTGCCTGAGATGCCACATCCAGAGAACCAGACAGAAGTTCTGCCCCATACAGCAGCAGTGCTGCAACACATGTGGACAGTTACCTCAGCAGGCTGGGGCTTAAATGTGTGGGGGACGTCATGAGCAGACCTGGTCTATACAGGCATCATAACAAGGGTACACAGAACTGTTTTTGGGGAGGGGGGCACTGAAACTCGAACCAGCACCTTGATACCATTTAGCTGGCCCAACTATTTACACGATCTCTCGCTGTCAGGGCCTACTCCCCTTCTAGGGCCAGAAGGGGCCTGACCAATGGAAGGGGCACTAGATCTGTGATGTTGTCAAGATAAGAATAAGATTCGTCAAGTTATTACTGACATCATCCATCAATTCTATACTACAAGAATTGTGTCTTATCTTGGATCAGTGCTAACCATAGTCGTTACGTACAATTATAGTTACTTCTCATTTCAAAGATTTTCTGCATCAAATGGTGCCCGTCTGCTTTGTATATTTTGATATTGTGAAGTGTTGACATCCAGAATTGTTGCATACAAATTCACCTCAGGAAATAGATCAAGCAATGTGTGGAAGCTGCATTAACTTCACTGCAAAAGTTATAGTTGCAGATCATATGCGCGTGCAGGAATAAGTATAGGTAGGACACAGGTAATATTTTTTTATTTTAATATCTTTATTCAGAAAATCACATAAACAATACATTTTAACACTACAAATTTAAAACGCGAATTTACATCAATACCTGGTTATATACACTTTACGACTATACAGCAATAGGTGATCATAAGACATACAGGAGATATTACATAACCTAAACTACATAATTACAGAACAAAAGTTATAGTACTGTTGCAGATCATATGCGCATGCAGGAATAAGTATATGTAGGACACAGGTAATAGAACTCTGGGATGTTACTAGTATCATGACTCTATGAAGTATGGCAGAAAAGAATAAATTGTTGTACAAACTTGTGCCATAACCTGCAATGCAGATTTAGAGTGTGCAAAAGACCACAGAAGATTTAAAGTGTGACTAAGCAGTGGGATTCTAGTGTGTAAATAGCTTTTCATTTTATTGGCCTTTGTAAATTGAGTTTGTTGAGTTATAATATTTTATGCATCAGTTACGTTTTAGTTTCACTTTACAAATTTTGAGAGGTTGTAGCTTTTGATGTGAAGTTTTATAGACAAGAAATCATGTTGTTCATTAGTTATACTTTATGCATATAGAAATGAGTTACATTTTTAACTTAAAATTTAAGTCTCTCAGTTTCATTTCACGGCTTTACTTTCCATGTTAGCATCTTCAGACTATTGACTAAAATGGAAAAACAGCTGATAAAGTTAATATATGAATACGTATATGTGCAAATATACGAATAACGTTACATGTATGTGCAGATAGCCAGATACATGTTCACCAGTGCCTTTTACTTTTACATGTATGTACTGTAGCTACAGTACGTATGCACCTGTTTTGCCCTCCCTTTCACTTTGTGAAAAATTGTAATACATGTAACTGCACATATGCATTACACTGTAAATATGTACTATGATGTAAATAATTTCTTTGGAGGAAACCAACATCTTTGAAATGTGGTTTAATCTGGGACCATTCTGCCACTATATGGTGTACAGTAACATAGTTTTTCTTGCCAACAACTGTAATATTATGCTTGTAAGATACCGACATGCAGGATTTCTGTAACATGGACTTGGAATGTGAATAAATCTACATAGGAACATGAGGTACACAGTGTGTTGTTTTGATTGTCACTAGTACGGTGACAAGGGGATTTTGTAGTTAGGGTTGTTGACAGCAAAAGTAAAATGGCTGGCTTCAAGACTACATAATATACACAGTGTGTTACAACCAATGTAACAAACATGGTAATATAGACTGACCCATGGAGCTTTGCCATTCTCTTATGAAAGCCTGCCTTCTTTGACATACTTATATAGCTCACTCACTTAGCTCTACAAAAACATGTATATAGCAACAGATTGAATATGAACATTAGGCCGCAGCAATTTAATTTGTTGGTTCTTGGATCCGCCCAACTTTTTTCTGATTTGAAAAAAAAAATAAAAAATTCAGGCTCTGTATCAACTCCAAAATGCTCATACAAATGTATTATGGTTTGGCCCCAACAGTTGAAGGAAGTTTAGAGTTTTCACTGTTTTTCTATCTATCAATGCAGTGGTTTGATTAGAAGTTTGAAATTTATTATCTAAATTCTCTAAATTACAAACCAGCCTGGTATGTTAACTTCATGGCTCCTCCTACTGTAGCATTCAGGGCTATCATAGGATCCCTTGGCCTGTTTTTTTTTTCCTGTCGCTTCATAATTATATTTCCTGAAAAAATTGATCTGAGAACCAACAAATCAACATAGTTTGGCCTTAGAGAGAACTGCAACGATGTAACATCTGTGTGCATAATATCACCAGGGTCCATAATATCACCATGTTGAGAAACAGTGTGCTAACTGTGCTTAAAGACATTTTTACTGCAACATACTTTTGGTATACACTCCTTCACACTTCAAATGTACATACCTAGGGTATGTTGCAGTAAAAATATCTTTAAGCACACTATTTCTCAAGGTGGCAATATTATGGACCCTGGTGATATTATGGACACAGATGTTACATGTACAATTACTGTACATATGATGTACAAGTGCTTTTCTTCAAAATCCTCATTGTCCCCCAAGGAACTAAAAGCGCCTTTAGTTGTCCCCACTACCATAATCAAATGGCAGGAAAGGGGACAGCATTCTTCCCCGACCTTGTCCTTGTGAACAGGTACAATGGCGACGATTCAAGAGAGCACCTGGTGGACACCTGCGTTTACATGGTGTTCTGCTGTCCTGCAGCCTTCGACTGGTGTTCCTCTTGCACCTGGCAGAAAAAGAGAAAAACTGTTGGTCAAAAGTCTCTGTTGCAAGTAATAGTTTGTACCTAAACCAGCACGTCGGCAGAACGTACTGCGCCTGCGCAGAACCCCGTATTTTCGCGTTTTTAGTTGGATTTTTGGTCAACGTTGCATCAGAATTCTGCCTGTTGCAGAGGATATTCTTTCCGACATAACATTTGGAAACTACATGTACTGTCAAAATGCTAAACTTATATGAGCGAATACAACCTTATATGAGACATTCTGCCAAAATGCTATGTACAATACATTATGGGTTTCGCGCAGGTGCAGTACGTTCTGCCGACGTGCTACCTAAACCCACATTTAGGTTCAGGTCGGAGGTCATCGTCTACCAGATACATTTGACCCAGTGTTGACATCACACTTCAAAGAAGCCACGTGACAAGCCCCACTGGGTCAGTACCAGTCTACTGAGGAAGACCAGAGTGACTGGTCGAAAGCTCTAGGTGAGAGAATTTGTTTTGTGTTGTACCAAAAGTTTTAACTTTAAACATGTAACTACCAACACAGATAAACTTTCATGATAACACTCACTTGCATGTGTTGAAATCCAAAGTTCTTCCAGTAGGACAGGGTCTGTCAGCACAGAGACATTCACACCTGTCTGGGCTCCAGTAGTACCTCTTACGACAGTTACTGTAGGAAATACAAGAGTCAGACAAGTACATCAACCAACTGTGGATTATGTAGGAAGTTGGGAGGGTGGCTAGATTTTCTGTTACCACATACTTATGACCTGTAAAAATGACTTTTTGGTTATAGCTTTGCATAAGCTACGGTCACAACCCGCCGTACGTGCTTTTTGTCCGTACTTTTTTTGGGAGGCTACGTCTGCTACGTTTTTTCTGAAAACGTAGGGAAGGAGTGGCGTCGACGCACGTCACTCGCACGTCAATCGCACGGTTGCGCAAGGTGTAAGAGTGTGGTCACTGGTCTGCACGTTACGTCTGGCCGTGAGCGGTTGCGTGCATTGTACGTTGCGCAAGTGGTAAGTGAGTTGTACATGCTTACAACTACGATCTTCCGCACTGCACGTACGGGGCACGCACGTCGCTCGTACTCGCACGCACGGGTGGTGAATCCGCAGACCACACGTAGAAAAAGTTTTACATGCACTTAAAGTTCTACGGCGTGTCTGCGTGGATTCCGTAGGATTCCGTACGGAGGTGGTACCACGCACGGATGCCCTACGTTTGCCCACGTTTTTGCTCGTAGACAGCACGCAGAAGCACGTAAAGCGGGTTGTGACCGTCGCTATAGTCACAGTGGAGAAGGATCATCGACAATGATGGACAACCAAGAGTCACAGTGGGAAATAGTCCAGCTACATGTACATCTCAGAAAACGCTGTCAAAATTGGACTACCGGTACCAGTACACTTGCATCCTTTCAAACTCAATTAGATTAACAAAAATGTAAATGACATCCACTAAGTTTTAATCTAGTTCTTTTAATGATTCTGAAGTTTCATGAGAAACAACATTGTGCAATATCATGTAACATCTTTTATTTTATAGTATTTGTATGTGAGCCTTTCCCAGTATTTTTGGCCAACTAGTTATCTAGTCATCTAGGATATGACCTGGAATTCATGTAAACCTCTCATTTTCAAATGAAGAATGATTTTAAAAAACAACAATATGTAATTTGTGACATCCTTCCATGTGATGTTTACTCACGTTTCTCCTGACCGGCACACACACTGACATTCCTTCTCATCCCACACCTTGCCTTCCTCACAATCTCGCCTGGGCGACAGACAGGAACAGGCACAATCTTCATACCTGTGGAGATGTTTCACCTGTTAGTCTCACTTCAGTATAAAGATGTCCTGGTCATTAAGTGCCATAGGTCATCAGGACAAGCCCTTTTCCGTAGAGCGTAATCGGCCGTTTTAATTCTACGTACAGCGTAGACGGACCGCTCTAATATTTTTGTATTTGGCGTTTTAATTCTACGTAATACGTTGTAGCCACTTGGAATTTATCGTAAAGCGTAATCGAGAGGTTTCCAAATTCAGCGTAGAGCGTTGTCGGGACCCCCCCCCCTTGCAGGCCCTCTTTGGGGGTAAACGCATTTGTAGGTTTAGAAAATATTCAACACAACCTAGAATGTTTTAGGACACCTGAGTAGCAGTCTACTTCATGATGACTGATCTAATATTGTAAATTTATTTTTATCTCCATGAAAAATGGAGGTACTGTTTTGGTATGTCTGTGTGTGTGTCCATGTGTGTGTCTGTGTTTCCGCATACGTTTGGATTCAGTGTGTCCAAGAGGGAAAATGGCATTACTCACATCTACATCTGCTAGTGTTTGCCGTTTTCACATGAGTTTTTCTTTACATGACCTCCTTGACAGCTGGCATCTAGTGTTGTTTCCCTTAGGCCACACCAATTTAATTTCTTGGTTAACGGATTCGCCCGCTTCATTTTTTTCTGATTTGCAAATAAAAATAAAAATTCAGAATCAACTGCAGTTTGCCCTGAACAGTTGAAAACAGTCCTTTTCTTCCTAGTTGTTACAGTTATTCCATCTTTCAATGCAATGGTATCATTAAAAGTTCAAAATTCATTTTTTAAATTTTGAACCAGCCTGGTGTGTTGACTTTATGGCTGCTGTCGTACCATTTTGGGCCATAATAGGATGCCTAGGCCTGTTTTTATTTTTTATTTTTTTCGCCCGCCCGCTCCATTATTTTTCTAAAAAAATCCGTTAACCAAGAAATTAAATTGGTATGGCCTTACAGAAAGACCTGTAGACACCATCATGGTGACTAAGAAGAGGACACACATGATCTAAATATTTTATGGAGGTCTGAGATCTCTGACTTCTTGTTGCTGTAGGAGTAGTAGTGGAAAGGAGTTTCCTAACTTACTTGTGTATGGTAGGGTTACAGTGGTGGGGTTTAACCTTACATCCACACTGACAGCTCGCATGTTCTTCCATCTCAATCCCTTCAATGGCCTCCAGTACAAGATCGCCTCCTTCTGCCAATCCCAGTTTCATCACCTGCAAGAAAAAAGTTGTAACGTTAAAACAAGAGAAGCATGAAAGTTCATCTTTGTTGGTAAAATACATAAAGAAAATTAAATTGTTCTCCAACTCAACAACAGAGGGATTACACTTTGTAGCTATCAAATTGAATGTATAAAAATCATTTACAGGCAAACAGCCCTAAAGAAGTAACGTTAAAACAACTAACATTAAAACAAGAGAATCACCAGCATGAAAGTTTATCTTTGTTGGTAAAATACATGAAGAAAATTAAATTGTTCTCCAACTCAACAACAGAGGGATTACACTTTGTAGCTATCAAATTAAATGTATAAAAATTATTTACAGGCAAAAAGCCCTAAAGAAGTATAACTGACACCCTAGCCTCTTCTCTCCTTTAGCATTTACACTCAAACCACGTTTTTCTTTCACCATCTCTTGGCTCCAATCCAGTTCCACACAGGCAGGCTTACTAATGACCTAACTTTGACAAAGAGGAAGGTGACCCATGGGGAAGTGTCAGAGTTGATTTACTTTAAATGTCACGCTATAACCCGAGTGTTGTGCACAGATAAGCAATTAAAATCAATGTGGTAAACTGCTGCAGTGATGACGAGGCCTAGGAAAAAAAATTGTGTTTCAGTCCTGAAAAAATTAGGATTGCTAGGTAGGGATAATCTTTTTTCTTCTTGTTTTTTAGACTTTGGTGATCTGTAGTGATCAAACTTAAATGAGGGCCTGCAAGTCCTTTTTCGTAAGGGCGTAATCAGGCCGTTTTAGACTTCGTAATTCGTAGGCAGCCTCCGCAAAAATCAACGTAATTCGTAATTGGACATTAGCCACAAATCGTAAAGTCGTAATCAGCTCTGAGACTTTAACGTAATTTGTAATAGGCGGCGAAAATTTTGCGTAATTCGTAATCACTACCCCCCCTTGCAGGCCCTCTTAAATACATGTACACTGTAATACAGTTAAACAAAGTAAAACTTGCATGAGGACACTTATGTTGCACAACCAATTGTACAATGTTTCATCACTCAGGCGTCAGATTATGGAGCAAGAAAAGGTCGATCAGCTGGAAAAATTTATGTCCCTCGCAGGGGTCTACACAAAAAAGGCCTAGTGGGGTCAGCAGGTTTTTCTAACATTTTTTCCTGGGCCCTAGAATGCAACTAGGGTGCTGGGTATGACCAAATGAATTGTGGCAACTGAAGTGATATCATTGTAGGAAGTCTCCATCCGGAAAAATAAAATGGTCCACTGTAACATGTCTGTCAACTAGGGACAAATTCTGACTGTTTCAAAAAGTCATTTCCAGCACAAAGACTTAGTTAGTTATGCAAAAAGGTATCTTAACAAATACACTGCACATGAAATATTTGTTTTAGGATAACTACAATGCAGTTGATGATGATGATGATGAATGCAGTTGAAAAAAATGTATTTCCTGTATTACCGGTATACTAATATAATACATTGTAATAATAATAGGTAATTTTTTTTTCATGCTGACTACCAATGTTTCATATATATATACTTCTTTTGTCCTATAAAATACCTACTGTAATGGTGGTATTCTTGATTTCGAGAGGTTCGCACTGGAATATGTCGGCATGGCAACATCCGCCGCATCTCTGCAGGTTGACGCAGCTGGGAACGACAATCGTGCTGGGGCGCTCGTTCGGAACCTTGACTTCCATTCCACGCGGAGAGCAGAAGTCAATTTCTGACAAGAGACTTGTCACGACATCTGCACCTGTCAAAGGATAAATGAAGATTCCCAATTGTCAGCCATTATAATTTTATTAATCTTAGACTCTTTTAAGAGCCAAGGTATACGTAGATTTAAAATTAATTGTAACAGTGGGGGGTTTATAGGCGCTACCAACTGACCTGGCCAATGGGTCTAGACCTTTTCGGCCGAGCGGTTAGAGCGTCTGGTTATGTAAGCTGGCGCCCGAGGGCTGTGGGTTTGAACCCCGGCCCGGGACCAGAAGGGTTTTTACTGTCTCCTGTTTCTTACATAATCTACCTTGGGCCTTACCATAAATAAAGAGATGATTCATGTAGAATTTGGGATTTTAGATATAGAGTTTGGAAAACTCAATGTTGAATCTCTCTCTCTCTCTCTCTCTATATATATATATATATATATATATACATGTATGTATCTATATATATATATGTTTGTGATATGTACTAGTATTATGAGCTTGAGATATACGATATTTCTGGGAACTCTCGGACATATCTGGTGACGGAAATGCCACACTAGAAATCATGCATTTCCTTGATGATATCATAGACTTCCAAGGAATATGTAGACTTCCTCCAATGCGGCTGCAAAACCCAGAAAGCACAAGGAAGCCTTAAACTCCCCACAGGCCAGCGGTACCAGGCCCAACAACATATAACCTTTTCTGACAGCATACATGTGTACTACTTGAATCTAAAATGTAATATCACAGTACCTACAATGAGAACTTACCTTGCCTGCTTACTGTCACCTTCTCAGAAAGAAAAGGATTTCTGCCCAAAGCGCTGTCATCTAGGAGGACAATCCCCTGGTCCCCTCCGAGGCCTCCAAGTCGACCTCGAATCGGCTTGTCTTTTGCTGCGATCGTTGGGAAGGAGTCGTCGCGAAGGACAGAGTCTGGGATGAAGTCTGTAGAAGGACCAGACATTTCTGGGCCTATCAAAAAAAAGCACATCATGATACATCTGTTCAAGAATGGGCCACTATATAGATTGAAGTGGTGAAGCATTATATACTTGTACTAGAGATACATGTAATTCTATATTCAGAATACTATATATTTAATTGGTTTTATCTCTATCCTTCCGACCTTCCGACTGTCAAGCCTACATATCCTTCTTTCTCAAGACAACATTCCCTGGGTTAGTTTTTTAATCTGGAAAAGACATAGAATTTAAGTTACAGCTAATAATAATACAATTTTTTGCTTCTCAGAACCCGGGCCTCAACCGTCAACATGTGATAAATACAGTTTTATGTTATTTCAATCAAAATTGAACTGTAAGATATTCTTTAATACACTAAGGGGTTCTACAACATGCATCAACACTTACCAATGCTGTCTGTGCTAACGTTGAAGAGATGGAATAAGTCAGCAGGGTTCTTCACATCTAGTAGCTTGTTCAGGACTTGGAAAGGGATCTTCCAAGGAAAACACAGCAATCAAGATCATTTGAACATTTGAAAGACTTTTCATTTGATCCACATATTTCCACCATAGGATCATTAAGATTTTTAAAAAATTAAACCAATTTACAAATCTACCAATGTGAAAGAATCTTTTTGATATATGCCTTTACCTCTCCTTGAATCGCCGTGCAAGTCAGCAGAAGTAGTATCAAACGTAGTTCGGACTGCAATGCCATCTTTATCCACTGTTTATCCAAGACAAGCAACTTCAAGTTTAAAGCTAGAGCAAAAACTTAAAACTTCCTTGGGTGCCAAAAATAACTCCAAGGGGAAGTTTGATACGAAAGCGGTTACATCACAGGATAAAGTGTTCACGATCTCGTGATGGGAAACTGGAGGGAAAACACCCCACCCACACTCTAGTAAAACTACTGTACCAAAGGTTGTACACAAAAGTTCTTATAACGTAAACAAAGTAGCAAGAACACTTCCGGTAACATACCTGTCATACCTTAGCCCTCCCCGCCCAACACAATATGGTTTCGGAAAAGGCCGTCTTTGCTGAAGGATGTCGGCTGAACATATCGATTTACTTTTCACCGAAGGATTCGGGATAAAACGCATCATGGGAATTAAAAATCGACCAAAACGAGCAAGATTTGTTTAAACTATCCGAAAAAAGTATTCGAAGCTATCTGTCATGTAAAGCGGAAACGAGTGGGGCAATGCCCATTTCGAGGTGAGATGGGCACATTTCAGTAAGATTTTCAGAGTACAAGAATTCGTTTTATTCACTAAAAGAGCTACTCTCAGTGTAAAAACAAATTTTATTACGATATATGATTATCTTTTGTTGAATTGATCACATTTATGCAATTCTCTTGGGTGAATCAATTTAACTATGGAGAAGAAAGTTTAGGGATGGTTTCTAAACTCCCCCGGTAAAATTTGGAGTGTTCCATTTCCGGTTTAGCTTGGAACAACCGCCATTTTGCAGTGACTGTTGATGAAGGGGAAACTGGAAGAACCGGTGATTTCGGCCCCAAAACTCGACATGAAAATGGCTGCAGAAGTCGAGCGGACACTGGTAAGGAAGCTCAAACATTTGATTGTGCGAACGGTGCCGTTATGTATCCCTCCCGTGCTTATATTCAGCGCGTAGGCCTCTATGAATAGGGGTTTTCAGTTGTCAAAATTTTGGGAGGGGCGAACGAACAAGTTGGGAGCACGACAATTTTATCGTATCCCGCGCACCCCGGATTCAACCTCTCCTAACGGCTTATTTTCCGGGGGAAAGGGCAGATCACAAAATCCCTGTAACGGACGATGTTGTGAGAAGAAGCACAGGAGGTCACATTTGAAGGAAACGTTGTATTTTTACGTATGGTACAGTCTGTATTTATGCAGCCTGGGTATCGTCTGAAAGCTCTGTGGGGAGGGGGGTATTTGCAAATTGGTCACTAGTTCTACATCAAGGCCATATCCTGATTCCTCCAACTCAGCAAAAAGTTGTGTATGAACTATTTCTCCACAGATGATCCTTGCATAAGTTTTGTTTTAGTCTTCATAATTATGATAGCATAGAGTGTTTTCATGTTTTAAAATTTTCTGCGGCACACACATATATTACATGATGAGTCAGTACATAGGTGTGCACATGTGCCCCTCAATTAAACACAAGTCATTTACCACGCATTTTCAGTTCTGCATTCTGATCAAATTTTTTTTCTCATTATGTCAGTACCTTTCCCCTGCCAACTGAAAAAGACCTGGCATCAAAACATGTTGTACCATAAAAAAAGTTGGCACAGCGGGCTGGCTAGTAGTTCTCATTAATAATCATTGACTGGACGGGTACACATGCTTTGTTCTGGCACAGGGTTGTTTTGTGTGCATGTGCCGTCCTCACCCCGCCTCTGGCTGTTCACTGTTCACTCATTTGTACTAAGGTGTCAACAGCCAGTTTTATAAGATTAAGATTCTTTATTGACACAACAAAAAAGTACAGTGACTTTTGTATGGTCTTCTACAACTAAAGGTCTAACAAAGCTAAATACATGTGTGGATAACGTCATCTTACACATACAGAGTATATGTATGCAGTAACAATAAAGGTTTAACTATTCTCTAACATTTGATCAAAACATTCTTAATGTATTTTCCTATTTGAACACTGTATTGGTTATCTCCCCTGAGAATGTAGTTGAATTTATCTATAGGATCTAATGTATTGAAATCAATTGAACAAGCGGAAAGAAAAGTAAAGAGCAATAGGCGCTTATTGTATAGTGTACAATCCATTATGAAGCGGTGCTCATTTTCAATCATGTTTGGACAAAATGGACAGAACCTTTGGTCATTTGGTGTTTTCTTACGAGTTATGTCCTAGCAGTGGTAGAAATACTATTTTTTGGGCATTGCAATATTGCAGAATGTCAAAATTTTGTTCTGCTAGTCGGAAATACTTTATGTAAATTATACACACTTAAAAGTCGGGATCTAAACCCATGGCATGTACAAAATTACATATTGGCAAACATGTTGGCAAAAATTACATGTTGGCAACATGGAGTTTGAAAAATACATGCAAAATTATGTGTATGTTATAGAGTCAGTAATACCCCTAGCCTGATTTTTTCCTTCTGCAATATTGAAAATGTCTCTGCAAAATGCAGACTGCAGATGGGTATTTCTAACACTGCCTAGGTATTACATGTATCTGCATTACCAAACAGCAGTTAACAGCCTGAAAAGAACACAACACACGAAACACCTTTATGTTTAACTTGCTCACGCAGGTTACAGGCAATAAGTAAAAAATACTCAGTAAAAGTCTTCTCACAGATTTCCCTTGACTGCCTACTTTTCAACTTCAGATAGACTCATATAGAGTTAGAAAATTGTACCCATACAAGGAGCACACTGTATGTAGAACTGAATGTGCAATGAAAAACAACTTGTCCGCCTAACAATGTCCCCATTGTGTTGAACTGTTTGTTCTCCTGAACCGTGGCCTTGTCACTTCAGAAATACTGGAACCCTGTGGTTAGAGGAATACAAAACAAGTAACCTGAGTTTCTAACTGTTACCTTACACTATTACAGCCATGTGCTAGCTATAATTTTAGCAGATCCAAACAATGACAATAGATTAATTCAAATTACTGAAAGATGAATAAATTATTCTTAATGTTTGTCTAGGATAATTAGTTTTCGCCTTTTAGACCACTTAATTAGGGTGATGAAATTGACCTTTGCTTGTAAATTGGACATGTTAGAGGAACACACACACTCCCAACTAGAGGTGCTTTACATTGCCATTGTATTATGATTTTCCTAAAAAAATATGTGTGTAATTACTGTGACATTTGTTATTCAAAATTCGGTGCTCCTGAATAGAATCAGAAACTGAATTTACGTGACACCACAGTACAGGTGCATCTACAAGTATACGCCGTGCTATTTTTAAAACCTTTGGTTATGCATGATAGCGCTGAGATCAATGTACATGTAATAAAAAGTAATAGAGTATAACTCATTATTGACTCTTAACGACTGTATTTATGGAGATTGTAATCTGTATCCGTTAGGTACATACAAGCAGTCCACTAGAGGTGCTTATTGAACATAGTCATTGTTTGGTACATTTAGTCATTTTTCTTTTCTAGGTGAAGTTTCTAAGGGAAATTTTTTTTCTACCATTTGTAAAAGTGTTTCTATATTTTATATTTGAAGCCATGCAGACCTTTTTGTAACCCGATGAGTCCAGATCGATATCGTTTTACCCACAAGGCTGCAGTCAAACCGAAGCCACTGATTTGACTGACTTTATTTAATTACTTTTGGGTACAACTCAATTATTGAATTATGCATGAGTAGGCTCTTCCGTTTCAACAAAAAGATTGTACACTTGTCACCATGTATGAAATATCATGACGTATCAATATTAAAAACTTTTAGAAGGTAAAGTGAAAAAACTGGTACTGGTATTCAGCTTCATGTATCTGTATATACTTTTCAATGAGAAAGCTTTTTTTTTTATTTTATTTTATACAAAAGACAGCCAGAGTTGCCCAGCTACAATGTAGTTACAAGACTATTTGACTAGTATGAGAAAGCTTCTAGCAGTTTTGCAGTACATTTATTGAGATACAGATGTAGTTATCTTAGACAAGATTAATCCATAAATCATTGGCCATTGGTCATATTAGCAAAGCCGTAAAAATATGTCTCAGACTCCATCATTGACTGTTGATAACAGAGAAAAGAAGACAAAGAGATTGGACATTAACTCTTTGTAACTATCAGACAGCAGAAGTTAAGTCTGTCTGAAGCACTGAATATCTGAAACATCAGGGACAGCCTGGGAGGCCTAGCTCACCTCATGTGGGATAAACATTTAGGTTGGAATTATCAGGGCAGCAGGGCTTGGCTTAGCATGACATCTTCATTTTCTCCTTAGGCCATACCAATTCAATTTCTTGGTTAACAGATTTTTCTAAAAAAAAATAATGGAGCGGGCAGGCGGAAAAAAAAACAGGCCTAGGCATCCTATTATGGCCCAAAATAGTATGATAGGAGCCATGAAGTCAACACACCAGGCTGGTTCAAAATTTAAACAATGAATTTTGAACTTTTAATGATACCACTACATTGAAAGATGGAATAACTGCAACAACTAGGAAGAAAAGGACTGTTTTCAACTGTTCAGGGCAAATTATGAGCATTTTGCAGTTGATTCTGAATTTTTATTTTTTTTGGCAAATCAGAAAAAAAATGAAGCGGGCGAATCCGTTAACCAAGAAATTAAATTGGTGTGGCCAGACTTATGTACATGAAGTCCAAGCTGTAGCACTAGAACCCTGATCTTTTTGGAAATTTCTTAGTATTTTAATGATGTTCTATCTGTATTCTGTACAAAGTATGAACTGTGATATTTTGGATACTTGTTTAATCTATTTGTGTCATATCATGTTTCTATAATCTCTTTTAAGCCTATTATCACCATATGTCTGTGGTTGCAGTCCTCTCACATTTCAGATGGTACAGCAGATTACAAATTTCCCCAATCCTAATGTATGAATTTCATTTTGTACCCACATTTTGTGATTTTGCAATTGCTCATTTTTTCTTAAATGATGGCTCTGCCTTAGGTATAATAATATCACATGTCTACCTGCCTAAAATTGTTGGCTCAAAAGTATATATTGTTGAATAATGATCTAGGTAAGTTCGTGACTAATAAACTGGTGGTCGTACCAACACCTAAGTACATGTATCTGATACCAGTCCAGGAAAGAACAAGAAACAGTCATGCCTTCAAACAAGGAGCTTCTATCAATATCACTATCAGAGTTATCAACCAAGAATTGAGGTGTTCAAAAACTTCTCCAGAACTATTGTAGACTGGAACTCGTTGCCAACAAGCACAGTTGGGGCATCATCACTAGAAAGCAACTCCTGCAATTAAATGTGCAAAGAAATGAGTGTAACAACTTGTTCGGTGTGATATTATAAGCTAGCTGCCGCTGCGCCGCCTGCCTGCGAAGCTGGTGTGTTATGGCAAAGGGCGGTTATACCGGCTATACTGATACAGATACAGATGTACACATTATAAATACAGACACAACCATTGAAGTTGAGGCCCAAGGTCTTGTTTTGTCACAGATGCTCCACGTTACCTTGCATATTGCTGTATACTAGTACACTTGGGAACAGTGACATCCATTGTCTTCAACCTTTTGAACCCCTTCCCTGATCAGAATTCACATCGCCGTCTGAGGTATCTAGACCGTGGTAAATGGTTGGTTCAGAATGACTGTAATGATAAAAGGAACTTGAAGTATGCTATCAATCTTGTTCAAGTAACTGGGCTATGGGATTGGTTGAAGTGTTTAAACTCAGTTATCATATTGTCACGGGCCTGTGAGTTTGAAATTGAAGTATGGTAAATGTAGCATAAATGAGTATAAGGTAGTTCTCTTCTACTTTAACACTTTACGTATATGCCTGTAAATTATATAGCGTAATAGAATTTTTCCCCAGAAGATTGTGCTTTATTATAACACAGTTTTATTACATGTAGTAT